CTGTGGGGGCTGGGGGCGGAGCTGAGGTGCACGGGCGGAGCAGGGGGGCTGAGGGTGGAGCTGAGACATGGGGGCTGGGGGGGAGCTGGGGAGGAGCTGATGGGGTGGGGGGTGGGGGGCAGAGCTAGGGGGCTGGGGGCGGAGCTGAGGCATGGAGGGCAGGAGGCAGAGCTGGGGGACTGAGGGGTGGAGCTGAGGTGCAGGGGGCTGGGGGCAGAGCTGGGGGGGCTGGGAAGGAGCTGGGGGTGGGGGGCAGAGCTGGGGGGTGGAGCTGAGGGCGTGGGGGGCTGGGGGTGGAGCTGAGATGTGGGGGGCAGGGGGCAGAGCTGAGGTACTGGGGGGTGGAGCTGAGGTGCGGGGGGCTAGAGCAGAGCTGTGGGTGCAAGGGGCTGGGGCGGAGCTGAGGGGGCTGGGGGGAGGAACTGAGGCATGGGGGACTGGGGGCGGAGCTGAGGCGCGTGGGGCTGGGGGACCACGGGCCGGGCTCTCACCGTCCCGGAGAGCAGGTCCATGAGGTAGGTGAAGTAGCTGACCAGGCCCCGCTCAGTGGGGTCGTACTGCAGGCAGCTTCTGTTCACTGCGAGTGGGGGGGAGAAAAGGGGTGAGACCCTGTGACTTTATTGACATAATCTGGGACCGTACAGAACATTGTTGCAACCAAGGTCCTGTAGTGGCACCAAATCTTGTATAAAGGGAGTCAAATAAGGTGTCTAAGACAAGGTTGGGGTTTACTGGTTATGAGTATGAGGTCTATATGTGTGTATCATTTTTGTAAAGTGATGAATATTGGCTCTACACTGTCTAAAGAACAGGAGGACTTGTGGCACCTTAGAGACTAACACATGTATTTGAGTTTAAGCTTTCGTGGGCTAAAACCCACTTCATCAGATGCATAGAATGGAACATGTAGTCAGAAGATATATATACATACAGAGAGCATGAAAAGGTGGAAGTACCCAGACCAACTGAAAGAGGCTAATTAATTAAGAGGAGCGATTATCAGCAGGGGAAAATAAACTTTTGAAGTGATAATCAAGATGGCCCATTTCGGACAGCTGACCCGAAGGTGTGAGGATACTTAACATGGGGGAAAGATTCAATTAGTGTCATGACTGAGCCATTCCCAGTCTCTGTCATTACACATATTGAATCTTTCCCCCATGTTAAGTATCCTCACACCGGGTCAACTGTCCGAAATGGGCCATCTTGATTATCACTTCAAAAGTTTATTTTCCCCTGCTGATAATCGCTCCTCTTAATTATTTAGCCTCTTTCAGTTGGTCTGGGTACTTCCACCTTTTCATGCTCTCTGCGTGTATACATATCTTCTGACTATATGTTCCATTCTATGCATCTGATGAAGTGGGTTTTAGCCCACGAAAGCTTAAGCTCAAATAAATTTGTTAGTCTCTAAGGTGCCACAAGTCCTCCTGTTCTTTTTGCGGATACAGACTAACAGGGCTGCTGCTCTGAAATCTATCCTGTCTGGATTTCACACTTATGCTGTGCTTCTGGGTGACGCCCCAGACAAGTTGGTGTCAGCTCTGCCTAGCCTGCTGGATGGCCCATTAAGGACCATCAGCGACACAAGTGACCCATTGAGAGACGGCAGACATGCCTTGGGACTCAGCAAGGTAGGCCGGGACTTGCCCATGTGACTCCAAACTCCATTTTGCTGTAATTTTCCACAGTAAGAACAAAGAGGGGTTCTTACACGTGGAAAAGACTCTAAAGGGCTGATGTCTCCATCTTGTCTTCAGTCCTGCTTCACACCTCTGGCGGGACTTTGCTACACTGAAGCTTTGAACCAAGGACCGATGACCCATCCCAGCTGGGGATGTTCTCCAGAGACTTGCTTTGAACCTGCAGTTTCTGCCATCACTGCGACAAGCCTGAACCAAGAACTTTGCCATCACTGGATGTCATTGACTCCATTTAACCACTTCTCGCTCTCATCTCTATCTTTCTCCTTTTATGAATAAACCTTTAGATTTTAGATTCTGAAGGGTTGGCAACAGCGTGATTTGTGGGTAAGATCTGTTTTGTATATTGACCGGGCTCTGGGGCTTGGTCCTTTGGGATCGAGAGAACCTCTTTTCTTTCACTGGGGTCTTGGTTTTCATAACCATTCGCCCCCATAACGAGTGGCGCTGGTGGGGATACTGGGAAACTGGAGCGTCTAAGGGAATTGCTGGTGTGACTTGTGGTTAGCCAGTGGGGCAAACCCGAAGTCCGCTCTGGCTGGCTGGTTCGGTTTGCCTTGGTGTGCACAGAAACCCCAGCCCTGGGCTGTAATGGCCCTGCTTGAAGCAATTTGTCCTGACTTGGCACGCTCCATTGGGTCCCACCAGAATCAGCCTCGTTACAGACCCCCTCAAACCAAACCTCGTGGGTCACACACACACCCCGACATAGGACCTGGGCTGCCACTCTGGGGGCGATTCCCTTCTCCCCCATCTCCTTTGATAGGGATGGGACCCAGACATCCAGGCTGCCGTTCTGGGGGCTCTCGCCCCCTTTCTCTCACTGGAGACGGGACCCAGGCATCCAGGCCAGCCGTACCCATGGAGTTCTGCCCCTGCTGGGTCTGGTTCAGCTGCAGCCCCTCGAAGGCGGCGTTGGGGGCCACCACGAACCCCACCATGAGCAGGGCCCCCCCCAGGTTCAGCAGCACCAGGAAGCGCAGAAAGTTGAAATACGACTGGATCCCGGTTCCAAAGTGACCTGGGGGGGAAAGGGCAGCGTCACCCCGACAGCGAGTCTGAACCCGCAGGCAGAGGCTGACCACAGGCCTCGGTGTGGGGGGGGAGGGTCACTCTCAGCAGGGAGGGGGGACCACAGGGCTCAGAGGGGGGGTTGATCTCAGCAGGGAGGGGGGAGCCTGGGACTCGGGGGGGGGGGAGTCGATCTCAGCGGGGGAGGGGGACCCTGGGACTCAGAGTGGAGGGTTGCTCTCAGCAGGGAGGGGGGACCCTGGGACTCGGGGGGGTCGATCTCAGCAGGGAGCGGGGACCCTGGGACTCAGAGTGGAGGGTCGCTCTCAGCAGGGAGGGGGGACCCTGGGACTCAGAGTGGAGGGTCGCTCTCATCAGGGAGGGGGACCTGGGCCACAGGGAAAGGGGTCCTACCTTCGATGCGGTGCAGCGAGCCCCTCCACACCTGGGCGTACAGCAGGGCGCCCCTCACCTGTCCCCACAGGTGCCGCATCCCCACCTGCCACTGCTCCCAGCGGCTCCGTTTCCAGGCGACCCGCTGCTCCCGGAGCCTGGTCGGGAGAGGGATGGGGGTGAGACCTCAGCCCCCCCCCAAACCCCTGTGGCCCTCCCAGAGCTGGGGAGAGAACCCAGGAGTCCTGGCTCCCAGCCCCCCCCTCTAACCACTAGCCCCCCTCCCCTTCCAGAGCCAGAAAGGAACCCAGGCGTCCTGCCCTGTGCAGGGGGGTTACCTGAGTATTCGTTTCTCCGCCATGCAGAGCGGCAGCTGTTTCAGGGGAACCGACTCCTGCTCCCTGGCTCCTTCCCCATCCCGCTCCTGGGGGGCCCCTGGGGGCTCTCCCTCATCCAGTGCAGCCCCCCAGGCCTTGGCCACGTTGCCACGGAAACGCAGGGTCGCGTTGCTTGGCAGCTGGAGGAAGAGGGATGAGGGGGGCTGCTGCTGGCCCCAGTCATCATCATCTGGGGAGGGAGCAAGTGGGGTGAGGGGGGGAGAGATTCAGCACCCTCCCTCCCCGCACTTACTGACCCAGGGATGGGGAGGGGACCCAGGAGTCCGGGCTACTGTCTGGGGTAGCCCTAGCTTCAGGAGATGGGACCCAGGAGTCTGAGTAACTGGTTGGGGGCTGCCTGCTGGGATGGGACCCTGGAGTCCAGATTATTTGGGGGGAGGGGTGGGGCTGCACACTGGGGATGGGACACAGGAATCCGGGTGATGGGGGTGGGGAGGGGCTGTGTCTTTTGGAGATGGGACCCAGGAGTCCAGGTTACTGCAGGGGGAGCACTGCTGGGGACGGGACCCAGGAGTCCAGGTGACTCCGGGGGGAGGGGCTGGGACCCAGGAATCCGGGTGAGTCGTGGGGTGGGGCTGCTGGGGACGGGACCCAGGAGTCCGGGTGACACCAGAGGAGGGAGGGGCAGGGACCCAGGAGTCCGGGTGACTCGGGGGCGGGGACCCAGGAATCCGGGTTATGGGGTGTGTGTGTGGGGGGGGACCCAGGAGTCCGGGTGACTCGGGGCGGTGGTTGGGGGGGGGGGAGGCTCCTCACCTGCCCCATCCCGGCCAGTCTGCGCCCAGCGCGGCTCCATGGTCCGGCCGCTCCGGGAAGGAGGAAACGCGTCGCCCGGCCCGGCCCGGCCCGGTTAATCATTGGCCCCGCGGTGACCTGGCGACGGGGCGCGGCTCAGCCGTGGGGGGCGCGGCGGCTGGCCCCAGGTAACCCCCCCAACACAGCTGCCCCCCCCCGCCCCGCTGGGGACAGACTTCTCGCAGGGAGGATGGGGGTCAATGGGGGCCCCCAAGGGCTGGGAAATGGGGGGGGGGGGGGCTGGGAAATGGGGGTCAAGGGCGGCGGGGGAATGAGGGTCCCTGGGGGCTGGGAAATGGGGGTGAAGGGCGCGGGGGGGTCGGGGGGACTGGGGGTGAAGGGGGGGGGAATGGGGGCCCCCGGGGGCTGGGAAATGGGGGTCAAGGGCGGCGGGGGAATGGGGGCCCCCGGGGGCTGGGAAATGGGGGTCAAGGGCGGCGGGGGAATGGGGGCCCCCGGGGATTGGGAAATGGGGGTCAAGGGGGCTGGGGAATGGGGCTTAATGGAGGGGGGTTCCTGGGGGGGGCGCGCGAGACACTCAGACAGGGGGTTGTTTTCAAGTCTTTATTTGCTGCAGCTGCCGCCCCCGCGGCATGGAAATACAACCCAGCGGGGGGGGGGGGGGGGGATGCGGTGGTAAAGGAGACCCCCCCACCCTGAGCCCTCCCCTCCTGTCACCCCAGATGCCCCCCTCCCTTGCACCCCCCCTCCCCCAGTGGTTAATAGCATAGGAAAGGGAAAGAGACCTCCGAGCGGGAGGGGGGCTTTCTACCAGCGACCCCCCGCCGCACCCCCAGCTAAGCACAGACCAGCTGCCTATGCTGCGGGACGTTCTCCCCCCAACCCCCCCCAGCTGCTGGGGGGGGGCGTTATGTGGCCCGTTCAAGGCTCTGCCTGAGAACGGTGCCAATTTGTTTCACACAAGATGGAGGGGGCCCGCCTGGCTTAAAATTGGTGGGAACCATCTCCCCCCCCATTTGGAGGCTGGTCCCCAAGCCAGCGGTTCTCATACTTTTGTACGGGTGACCCCTTTCCCACAGCAGATCGCTGAGAGCGACCCCCACCCCCCCATCAATTAATAACAAATGTTGATATATTAAACACCATTATAAATGCTGGGAGGCCAAGCAGGGTTTGGTGTGGAGGGTGACAGCTCGCGACCCCCCCCATGTAATAACCTCACGACCCCCTGAGGAGTCCCAACCCCCCCCCGTTTGAGAACCCCCCTTTTAAAGCCACAGTGAAGCATCGGCTGGGGGGAGGGGTAGAAACCACCCTCTTATTTGGGGATCTTGCGGGGCCGGGGGGAGAATCTGCCTGTGCGGGGGAAGGGCTCCCACCCTCTCAGGAGTGCGGGGGGGGGGCAGGCCTGCCAGACCCCTTGGGGGAAGCCTGGTAGCAGCTCAGGCTCTCCCCCCCCATGGAGGTCTGGGGCAGGTTCCCCCTCCCAGCCAGCCACAAGGAGAGGTGGGGGCCTGCAAAGAGGGGACGATCGGGGGGGGGCACCCCATTTGCCTCGGCCCTCCCCCCTCCATGGCCAGCACAGAGCCGCTGTGTGGGTCCTGTTCCCAGCCCCCGGGGGGAGGCGGCTCCCGGGGTGGGCGCCCCCCCTCGCCCTGGCTATTCCCCGCCCCCCAGCGGCCCCGCTCGGCGCGGCCCCTCGGCGGCGCGGGGGGCAGAGCGGGGCAGGGCGCGGCCCAGCAGCAGCAGGCCCAGGGCCCCGAGGTGGACGCAGAAGTAGACGGCCCACCAGTAGCGCAGGGTGGGGCCCAGCTCCCGCAGAACGAAGCCCATGCACATGTAGTCGTAGGCCCGCATCTTGAGGAACCAGTGCAGCCAGGCGCCCCCCGAGCGCTCCGGCTCCGGCTCCGGCGCCGCCCCCCGGCGCCCCCGCAGCCCGGCCTCCAGCGCCCCCTCGGCCGCCAGGCACAGCGGGATGGTCAGGAAGCTGAGGTAGTAGCCGGGGTGCAGGCCGTGCCAATAGGCCGAAATCAGCATGGTCCAGCCGCTCCTGGGGGGGTGGGGGGGCAGGGTTAGTGGGGGGGGGGGATCTGAGCCCCCCCCATGTTTGCCTCCTTCCCCTTCCTAGTCTTGAGCCACCCCCAGCCTCTTGTGAGTCCCCCTCCCCCACCCCGTTTGACGCCCCCAGAGATTTCACCTCTAATCCCCCATGCCTATGAGCCCCCCCACATGACTCCCCCTGCCTCCAGTATCCATGCCCCCTCCCCATGTGACACCCCCCACCCACGATTTCCCCTTCATGCCCCATATTGGGACCCTCAGCCTCCCCCCTGCCACAAGGCCCCCCCCTTCACAGGACCCCCCAGATCTCTGAGCCCCCCCATCTGACCCCCCCCTTTCCCCAGGATCTCCAAGCCCCCCCCCCGTGAGCCACCTGATCAGCGAGTGTCCCCACGAGGACCCCCCCCCAGATTTCCGAGTTCTCCCCATTGAACCCCCCCAGGATCTTCGAGGCCCCCCCACACACAATGGTCTCCCCCTCATGGCTCCCCGTGTCCCCCACCTCATGACGTAGGAGCGGAAGGGGGCGTTCTTGTAGATGTATTGGGCCAGCCACCACTGCACGGTCATGTTCCAGTACCGCATGCCGTCCCGCACCCGCACGCAGAAGTCGGTGCCGTACGGGTCGATGTTCTTGATGGTCTCGTAGTCGTACTCAGGGGGCGCCGCCCCTGGAGCCCCCTCCTCCGTGCTGGGGTGGGGAGAGCAGTCAGTGAGAGGGAATGAGACCTCGCCCTGGGGCCGGATGGGAGCCGGCGCCCCCTACAGGGGAAAGGCCACGGGCCCCATTCCCCGCCCCCCTGAGCCAGCCTGTCCCTGCCCTGGGGCCGGGTGGGAGCCGGCGCCCCCTAGAGGGGAAAGGCCCCGGGCCCCACTCCCCACCCCCTGAGCCAGCCTGTCCCTGCCCTGGGGCCGGGTGGGAGCCGGCGCCCCCTACAGGGGAAAGGCCCCGGGCCCCATTCCCCGCCCCCCTGAGCCAGCCTGTCCCTGCCCTGGGGCCGGGTGGGAGCCGGCGCCCCCTAGAGAGGAAGGCCCGGCCCCCTCCCCACCCCCACCAGCCCCCTCCCGGCCGGTGGGAGCCCTACAGGGGAAAGGCCACGGGCCCCACTCCCCACCCCCCTGAGCCAGCCTGTCCCTGCCCTGGGGCCGGGTGGGAGCCGGCGCCCCCTACAGGGGAAAGGCCCCGGGCCCCACTCCCCACCCCCCTGAGCCAGCCAGTCCCTGCCCTGCGGCCAGGTGGGGCCGGCGCCCCCTACAGGGGAAAGGCCCCATGACCCATTCCCCGCCCCCCTGAGCCAGCCAGTCCCTGCCCTGGGCCGGGTGGGAGCCCCCCTAGAGGGGAAAGGCCCCGGGCCCCATTCCCCGCCCCCCTGAGCCAGCCTGTCCCTGCCCTGGGGTCAGGTGAGAGCTGGCGCCCCAGAGGGGCAGGCCCGCGGGCGCACCTGGGGCAGTGGGCGGTGGGGCCCCCGCCGGGGCGGGAGCGGGCGGCCGTGGGGTAGGCCCCAAAGGCAGCCGCGATGCAGCCGCACTCTGCGCAGAGCCAGGCCACGTAGAAGCGCATGCGGAAGACGAAGAAGATGGGCACCATGTAGAAGAGGCGGAAGGGCAGCGCCCGGGCGTCGAAGGCCTCGCTCCGCACGTAGTCCAGCGGGAAGAGCCACGCGGCCCCCAGGAAGAGCAGCCCGTAGACCGGGACCAGCCGGGCCCGCGCCAGCAGGGGGCGCCAGCTGGGGATGGCCTGGGAGTCCGGCTGCTGCAGCCAGTCCAGGTAGGTCCTGTAGCGGTAGAAGGGGCCTGGCGGGGGATGGAGGGTGGCAGGAAAGGGGGGGGGAGGTGTGTGTGTGGGGGGGGGGGGGGGTATGGTGGGGGAGGGGGGGCAGATGAGGAAGGAGGCCAGGATGGGGGAAAGGGGGGGAAATGCAGTTAAAGGTAACAGTGGGAAAGACTCCGGCTGGACCCCGTCCCCTCACAGAGCAGGGGAGCGAACCCAGGAGTCCTGGCTCCCAGCCCCCCCACCCCACCTCTAACCACTAGCCCCACTCCCTTCCCAGAGCCAGGGAGCGAACCCAGGAGTCCTGGTTCCCAGCAGCCCCCCCCCAACCACTAGCCCCCGCTCCCCTCCCAGAGCCGGGGAGAGGACCCAGGTGTCCGGCCGCCCGCCGCGTACCTGTCATGAGCCCCACGTAGCAGTAACCGTAGCAGAGGGTCGGGCCCAGCCCCGGCACGCTGGGGATCAGCCCAAGGGCGGGGACCTTGGTGAACGAGGTCACGTCCTGCTTCTTGGCCTGGCTGATCTCCTGCACCTCATTGGCCAGGCTCACCATCTAGGGCAGGGGGCGCAACCCACAGGGTGAGCGCCCCCTACGGGACCACTGCTGCGGCACCGCGCCCCCCGGGCCTCACCACCACACCATGGGCCCCCCCCACGCCCCATGACACAGGGCCCCCCAGTGCCTCACCACCACACCACGGGGCCCCCCCACGACACAGCGCCCCCCAGTGCCTCACCACCACACCACGGGCCCCCCCGCGACACAGCGCCCCCCAGTGCCTCACCACCACACCACGGGCCTCTCCCACGCCCCGCGACACAGCGCCCCCCAGTGCCTCACCACCACACCACGGGGCCCCCCGCGCCCCGCGACACAGGGCCCCCCAGTGCCTCAGCACCACACCACAGCGCCCCCCACGCCCCACGACACAGCGCCCCCCCAGTGCCTCACCACCACACCACGGGCCCCCCCCACGCCCCACGACACAGCGCCCCCCAGTGCCTCACCACGGGGCCCCCCCGCGACACAGCGCCCCCCAGTGCCTCACCACCACACCACAGGGCCCCCCCACGCCCCGCGACACAGTGCCCCCCAGTGCCTCCCCACCACACCACGGGGCCCCCCCACGCCCCGTGACACAGCGCCCCCCAGTGCCTCACCACCACACCACAGGGCCCCCCCCGCGCCCCACGATACAGCACAGCGCCCCCTACGGGACCACTGCCACTGCACCACGCCCCCCCAACCCCCGCCACCATGGTGCAGCGCCCCCTAGTGCCCCAGAGGGGCCAACAGTGACCGGGAGGCCAGAGTGCCCCCTGCTGAGCCTCCCTGCCCCGCCCCCTGCAGCACCTTGAGGGTCAGCAGCAGCTGCACGGCGTTGGTGAAGGGGGTGGGGGCCGGCAGCCCGAAGAAAGTCACCATCCGGAAGAAGAGTAGATAGGAGAAGGTCCAGCCGAGGGTCAGGTAGTGACAGGACCTGGGGCAGAGGGCGGGTTCATTGGCCACACTCCCAGAATCCCCTGCTCCCATCACCCCCCCAACCCCTCCCAGCTCCCAGAATCCCCTGCTTAGCTCCAGGCCCCCCCATCTCGCCACAGCTCCCAAAATCGCCCCCCCACACACACACTCTACCCAGTAGACCCCACTCCTCTCCCAGAGCCAGGGATAGAACCCAGGTGTCCTGGCTCCTTCCATACCGGGGGGAGAGGCTGAGGATGACCCATGTGCCCAGGATGGTGACCAGGGAGTGCAAGGTGTGGATGTTGCAGGTGATCAGCGTCAGGAGCAGCCCCACGGCTGCCCCCCCAAACTGCTTCACTCGGTATCCTGGCGGGGGGAGGGGAGGAAAGAGACACAGATCAGATCCCAGCTCCCTTGCCACTGAGATCCCCCAGCAGCAAAGTCAGCTGGGACTTAGGGTGACCCTGGGCGGGGAATGGGGCACAGGGTCTCTCCTCTCTAGGGGGCACTGGCTCCCACCCAGCCCTGGGGAGGGGGGTTGGTTGGCTCATGGGGCAGGGAATGGGGCACAAGGGAGTTCAGAAGGTGGTGGGGATCCTGTACCCCCAAACACGCATCCCCTATCGATGGGACCCCAGAGTCCAGCAGCTTCTACTACAAGACTGGCAGGGGGAAGCTAGTGCCAGGGTTCCCTGCCCACACACACCAGCCCCCCTAAAATACCTCCAAACCCATTCTAACTCGAGACACAACCCAACCCCCCCACCCCACCCCAAGAGCTCAACCGGAGTGGAGAGAGGAAATCTTGCAAGAGGAAGCTGACGTGAGGAAACCGCAGATGGGGCTGGGTGGGGCATACCGGAGGGAATGTGGGGAAGGGCCCTTGTTGGAGGGAAAGGGGGGGGGAGTCTCTTTGGTGGGATTTTTTCTAGCCCCAATCCCTGTCCCCCCCCAGCCATGGCACGAAGGGGAGGGGCCAGAGTTACACCCCCCCCCCCCCCAGCTGGAGTCACTCACCCCCTCTCTTGAAGACAAAGCCGATGGGGATAGAGAAAAGCAGCACGGTCAGGTAGGTCCACTCCTCCGGGGTCATCCCAGTTCTGTCGCAGGAGGAAAAACAGTGTCAGGCAGTTCCACAGCCCACCCACCCCACCGGAGCGGGGAGCAGCAGCTGCAGGGGGCGCTGACGGCTCAGCTCCTCTGTAGGTGGTAGGGGAAGAGCAGGGAGGGGAGATCCGGCCCCAGGGCAGGGACTGGCTGGCTCAGGGGGGCAGGGAATGGGGCACGGGCCTCTCCCCTGTCCATTGCTCTCATTCCATGGCCTGGGGGTGTATCGAGTTTGCCAGGTCTCAGTCCCGCTCCCAGGAGCCCCCATCGCCCAGCCCATCCAGGTGCCCCCTGGCCCCCCCGCAGCTGAGTGGCCATGGGCTGGACGAGCCACAGAGACCCAGCCTTGGGGGGTGGGCGCTAAGGCAGTATAGTCGGGGGCTGCGTGGGGGGGAGGGGGGGCTCAGTGCGTATGTGAGGTAGAATGGGGAGCTGTGGGGGAGGGAAGTTGCAGGGTGTCCTCTGCCGGGCCAGTATCTCTGCCCTAGTTCATCCACCAGGGACTATCAAGCTGCCTTGTTGCCCCCAGTGGCCACTGCTCAGCCCCCCACCCCCCCGACACTCCCCCCCACACCCGGCGGCACAAACCCCTCAGCAAGTGGGGTCTAGTGGTTAGACTGGGGGGGGGGGTGAGGGCTGGGCTCCTGAGATCTATCCCACATGGGCTCCCTGCTCCTTCCACCTCCAGCTAAACCCTGGGCCGCTAGCTGCCTTAATCCCTTCCAGTCTCTAATCCACGCAGTTCACCCCCCACATTAGCCATTGCTGGTGCTGGGGAGAGAGGGGTACATGCCCCACGCAGTTTAATCTCACCCATTAATCCTCTCCATTAGGGGAACTCCTAGGGTCCCTAGTCCCAAACCAGGCCCTCATTGTGCCAGGCGCTGTACATTATTTATTAGGTGGATTACGGTAGCTCGCAGCCCCGCACCCATTGCGCCAGGGGCTGTACGTTATTTATTAGGTGTATTACAGTAGCTCCTTGCCCCGCCCCCTTGTGCCAGGCGCTGTACAAACACAAGACAAACACCCAGCTCCCCCCTGCTGCAGCTCACCCCCAGATTAGCAGTCCAGCTAGGGGGGACAGGAGGGGGGCTGAGAAGCAGTGGGAACCCCGCATCAGGTGGGGATGGAAAACACCCTGGAACTTCTCCCCCCTCCCCACAATTCAAGTGCAGCCCCACACGCCTCAAGTTCACAGCGTTACTCACCAGCACCCGACACCAACTTCTTCCGATGGGGTCAGTACAGAATTCGCACCCGGGGGTGCCTTTGCACGGATTCACACCCCTGGGGCTCCTATGCACGAATTCACACCCCTGCGGGACCCGGTGCACGAATTCACACCCCTGCGAGCGATTCCCTCCCCCACCCACCCAGCCCCTCACTTTGCAGCCGCGCTGCCTGCCCGTCCGCCCGCCCCCTGCTCACTTCCTTCACGCCCTGCACCCATTGGGCCCTGCAATTTTCAACACCCCCCCCACCAACTCTCCGCCCCTCCTCGGGTATTGGCCAATGGGGCCGTCGCTCAGCTGCAAGAACCCCGCCCCCCCTCGCCTTGCAGCAGCAGAGAGAGGGACCGGCCAGTTTGCTTTGCAAACAGCCCCAGGCCCACCCCAGAGCTGGGTGCAGGGGAGCCCAGGGGTGAAGGTGAGTGAACTACGGAAGGGGGGTGTGGAGGGGGGGATTACCCACAATCCCCTGGGGGAAAGAAGCAGCGTTTGGTATAGGTGCGTGTGGCTCTTTAAGAATTTCCCAGAATTCCTTTTGGGGGGGGGTGGCCCTTTAAGAAAGGGTTACCCAGAATACCTTGCGGGGAAGGGGCAGCGGTTTTTTATTTTTAGTGTGTGGCCCTTTAACAAACTGTTCCCAGAATCCTTTCTGTGTGTGTGTGGGCGGGTGGGGGGTGTCAATGGAGGGTTTTTAAGAATGGGACTCCCAGAATGCCTTGGGGCAGGGGGCGGGACTTGGTGTGGGTGGGTGTGGCCATTTAAAGGGATCACCACCATGTGGCCAGAACCAGGTGCCCTGAAAAGGGCTTTCCCAGCATCCTCTGGGGCGTCAGCGGGGCTTGGCCTCCCTAGCCCCAGGGCATGATGGGATTGAAGTGCACCCCCTCCATCCCAACTTGGGACCCCTAGCCCCAGGGCATGATGGGATTGCCCCCCACCCACGCTGGGGGCCTGGCCCTGGCAGTGGGGCATGCTGGGATTGTGGCACCCCCTGCCCCAGAGCATGCTGGGATTGTTGTGCCCCGCCCCAGAAGTGGCTGCATCTCCGCGCTGGGCGAGGTGTCCCCATGTAACCAGCCCCCGTGCCCTGCCCCAGAGGGGCCACACCCCCCACCCTTGCCACTCCCCTCTCTGCAGCTGGCGTGGCGCCATGATCCGGATCCACGTGCTGGAGGGGGTGGCTCTCGTGTGGAGCGTGGAGGACGCCAGGGAGATCCGTGAGCGGTTCCGGCTGGTGGGGACCCTGGTGGGGGCGCTGGCCCGCAAGCCCCGGCAGAACACCCGCCTGGGCCTCCCCCTGCAGCTGCTCCCCGAGGAGGCCCGGCTGCTTGCCGAGCTGGGCGCAGCCGTCCTGGTGAGGGGCACCGAGATCCAGCCCCCGGCGGAGGGGGAGGAACCGACCCAGGTGAGGGACCTGGGGCCTTGCTCCTCCAGGGGGTGCTGATCCAGCCCCAGGGCAGGGACTGGCTGGCTCAGGGGGGCAGGGAATGGGGCACCAGCTCGGGCACAGGGCAAGGTGCAGCGGCAGGGGGGCGGAGCATGTTTGGGGGCGGGGATGCTGTGGGGAGATGGCTGTGCCGCGCACCCCATCCCGGAGCTAACCCCCTCTCCCCCGAACCCAGGCGTCCGAGGTGGAGGCCTACCAGCAGGAGCTGGAGGAGAGCTACCAGGAGCAGCAGCGCCTGGCTGGGGCAGAGAGGGGGGCCCTGCTGGCCCGGCTGGCTGAGCGCATCGCCCAGGGCCGAGCCCGTCGCAGAGAGCAGCGCGGGGAGACGCCAGGTGGGGCTGGGGCTCGGAGGGGAGACCTGCTGCGGAAACCCAGGGACTGCAGAGAAAGGGGGGCTCTCCTCTGTTTGTCAGTGCTGGGCCCAGGGGGCCCGTGCTGGGGCTCAGTTGGGGGGACTCATTTGTGGATCAGTGCCAGGCCCCCATATACCCGGCCCCTGCGCCCCACCCCAGAGGGACCACATCTCAGTGGTGGGTGAGGGGTCCCTGTATAACCAGCCCCTGTACCCCACCCCAGATGCAGCTGCACTCCGGCCCCGGCTTCTCCTAGCCTGTTGCTCTCTTTGCTCTCAGACACTGCGGAGGATTCGGGGCTCCTGGATTCGCCCTTCGTCCTGCCCCGGGGCTCCATGATGGTCCAGCTGCCCACGGCCCGGCGGCACCCGGGGCGGGTCGAGCGGGTGGACTGGACCTCCCCCTCCCCGGACTGGCCTCACGCCGGCTGCCCGGCCCACGAGGCCCGGTACCGCGTCTTCCGCGAGCTGTGGGGCAGGGGCTACTACCTGTCCGGAGGGAGCAAGTTTGGGGGAGACTTCCTTGTGTACCCAGGTAGGTGTGTGGGGGGCTGGCCACAGCCTGGGGGAAATGGGGCAGGGGATGCTGGCCAGCCCTGGGGAGGGGCGCATGGAGGTGGGTGGGGACATTGTTGGTCCCAGAAGTGGGGGAGGGGATGGGTTGAGGGGGGGTGCTCGGGAGAGGGATTGGGGCAGGGAATGGGGCAGGGGGCATCTGGCCTGACTCCTTCCCCTTCGGCCTCTCCCCTGCAGGCGACCCCCTGCGGTTCCATGCCCACTACATCGCGCTGTGCTGCCCCCAGGGGGCCCCCCTCCCGCTCCGCACCCTGGTGGCAGCCGCCCGCCTGGGCACCGGCGTCAAGAAGACCCTGCTGCTCTGCTCGCCAGGCCCGAGCGGCGCCCTCGCCTTCACCTCTCTGCAGTGGAGCGGGCTGCAGTGACCCCTCCCGTGGGACAGCCAGGAACTGGACTGGTGGGGGGGCACAATCTGCTCCCAACCAGGCACTGAGCACCCCTCCCCCCGGAACAAAGCCAGCCGGGGCAGGAGGGGACGCTGCTGGGGGGGGCTGCCGGCTCGGGGCTGAGCGGTGAACAAGGGATGTTAATAAAGACGAGGCAGCAGCAGAACTGGAAGGGTGGGGGAGCCTAGTGCCGGGCTAGCAGGGGGCTGGGGGTCGGGAGTGAGGGGCACCGGCAGGGCTGGGGGGGGCAGGGCAGCGATAAGGAGGGGCTGTGGATCGGGGGAGGCCTCAGGCAGAGCTGGGTCCCCCCCCAGATTGACCAGACCCCAGTAGGTTATAAACTTTTTTTCTTTAATTAAAACTGAACTTGCCAGAAAATAGATATTATGTACTAACCTGCCCCCCCAGGCAGGGCCCATGGGGGGGGGAAGAGACAGTGGACCCCTCCCCCAATCTGGGGTTAAAGTGGGAGGGACCTGACTGTGACACCCTCCTGCCCCCCTCTGTATTTTGGGGTCTGTCTCCCATCCCTCTACCCCCTGGGAGCGAGCTTCCCCCCCCCCCATCACTGTATGGTGGCAGCACCCAAAAATATAGTTGGAGTGAACCAACTCTTCTCCCTCCACCTATGCAAAATTGGTAGCCTCTGGAGTAATCACAATAAAATGGAGATGATGACCCCCCCATCCCAAGTAGTAGCAACCAAATTCAGACCAAGCCATGTACAATTGAGGGGGAAATTAGCTTGAAATCAGCCCCTCCCATATCCACATTAGATGGTAGCTCCCAAAAACAAGCCGCAGAACACTGCATTTTCTAGAGGGGTGTTCCCCCCCATGCAGAATGGAAAGGTCTAGGTCCAGCCACCACCAACCCCCAAATTCTGACCAATGGTAGCAGTTGGCATACTCTATCTGCAAGGAGGTGGATAACACTGTCGTCGTCCCCCCCATTTCATGGAATGGTAGCAGCCACTAACTGGAACAGTCCAACTGCATGGAGCAAGGAGGGGGAAAGCTTGTGTTGCGGCTCCTTGTCTGGGGAATCTCCCCTTGTTGCCAGTGCAATGGTAGCAGCCGATATATGGAACAGACCAAGTCCTCCACCCCCCAAGCTTTCTCCCCATTCTGTGTAATGGGAGCAGCCCCACTTGGAATGGTCCATCTGCAAGGGGGAGGCTCCAGGCTCTCGCCCCCCGCCTGCACCCCGTCAGACGCTGATGGTGCGGAAGACGGTGAAGCCGGACAGGGCGGTGGTGATCAGGACCCCCGGGCACTGGGGCTGCCAGTGCAGCTCCTTGATGTCGGTCTCTCCCTGGTGCACGAAGAGCAGCTGGGGGGGGATGGAGGCCAGGGCCGGGTCATCCTCGCTCTCCCCCTCCCCCTCCTGGTCCCGCTCCACCGCCAGGTCCCACTGGGTCACCTGGTTGTCCGCACCGGCGGCCGCGAACACCCCCCCGTCCGCGGGGTGCCACTCCACCGAGGTGATGGGCGCTGTGTGCTGCTTGAAGGTCGCCACGCTCGTGCCCGTCTGTGGGGGGAGAGGGCAGTGGTGAGGGGGGCTGTGGGTTGGGAGTGAGGGGCACCGGCAGAGCCTGGGGGGGAGCCCAGGGCTGGGCTAGCAGCAGGCTGCGGGTCGGGAGTGAGGGGCACCGGCAGAGCCTGGGAGGAAGCCCAGGGCTGGGCTAGCAGGGGGCTGCGGGTTGGGAGTGAGGGGCACCGGCAGAGCCTGGGGGGGAGCCCAGGGCTGGGCTAGCAGCAGGCTGCGGGTCGGGAGTGAGGGGCACCGGCAGAGCCTGGGGGGAAGCCCAGGGCTGGGCTAGCAGGGGGCTGCGGGTCGGGAGTGAGGGGCACCGGCAGAGCCGTGGGGGGAGCCCAGGGTTGGGCTAGCAGGGGGCTGCGGGTCGGGAGTGAGGGGCACCGGCAGAGCTGTGGGGGGGGCCCAGGGCGGGGCTAGCAGCGGGCTGCGGGTCGGGAGTGAGGGGCACCGGCAGAGCCTGGGGGGAAGCCCAGGGCTGGGCTAGCAGGGGGCTGCGGGTCGGGAGTGAGGGGCACCGGCAGAGCCTCGGGGGGTGGAGCCCAGGGCTGGGCTAGCAGGGGGCTGCGGGTCGGGAGTGAGGGGCACCGGCAGAGCTGAGGGGAGCCCCCGAGAGACCTGGGGGAGCCCAGGGGGCACCGACCTGGAAGAGGCGCAGGTCCCAGACGCGCAGGGCCCCGTCGTCCCCCCCACTGAGGAGGAAGGGCTCGTGGCGGTTCCAGCTGATGACGTTGATGTCGCTGGCATGGGCCCGGCTGGCCGTCAGCATGCAGGCCCGGCCCGGCGCCGCCCGCACGTCCCACACCCGGATGGACCCGTCCGCCGAGCACGAGGCGAACACCTGGGCGAGAGGGGGTCAGGGCAGCGTGGCCACCTGCCAGGGGCCCATCTACCCCGGTGTCCCCACCGCCCTGCCCCTCCAGATCAGCCCCATGGGCCCATCTACCCTAGTACCGTGCCCTGCCCCCAGGATCAGCCCCATGTGGCCGTCTACCCTGGTGTCCCCCCCGCCCCGCCCCCAGGATCAGCCCCAGAGGCCCGTCTACCCCAGTGCCCTGTTTCTCCTGGCAGGACTGCCACTCACTGTGGCTTCTGTCGGCGACCACTGCAGGTCCTCCACGGAGGCGGTGTGGGCGGTGAAGGGGCGCTGGTCCACGTGCCACGTCCCGTCCGCCTTGGGGCTCCACAGGTGAATGTTCTTGTTTGAGTCACCAGTCACGAGACGCCCTGCGGGTGGGGGCAGAGCTGGGGTCACAGGGAGCTCCCACAGCTAGCGCCCCTCACTCCCAACCCATAGCCCCGTCACCCCCAGCTCTGCCGGTGCCCCTCACTCCCGACCCGCAGCCCCCTGCTAGCCCAGCCCTGGGCTCCCCCAGCTCTGCCGGTGCCCCTCACTCCCGACCCGCAGCCCCCTGCCACCCGGCGACCCTCGGCTCACCGGGCACCATGGGGGACCAGTCCATGGCAAAGCCCTCGGTCATGTGTCCGGCAAAGGAGAAGAGGGGTTTGATTTTGGCCTGCTCCTCCCGCAGAAAGGTGGCCATGGCCTGAGGGTCTGAGATGGCCACCAGGGGGCGCTGTAGGTCGTAAATCTCCACCTGCCCCTTCTCCGACCAGACGGCAGCCACCTGCGTCCCGCCCAGCTGGGTGACCTGCCAGGAAGGAAAGGGTTAACCCCAGCATGGGGGAAGGGGGCACTGTGCTGTTGGGGCGGGGGAAGGGTGCTGTGCTGAGGGGACGCTAGGCAGGAGGGGGAGGCTCGCTTGGGGGCGCGGGCCCCAATGCCCCCTGTGCTGCTGGGAGCAGGGGATGCCGCACTGGGGGTGGGGGGGAGCTCGTCGGGGGGCGCTGCGCTGGTGGGGACTCTGCTCAGGGGGGCACGGTGCTGGGGGGGGCTCGACAGGTGGTGCTGTGCTGGGGGGGGGCTCGGCGCTGGGTGGGCCGTACCCGAACGCGGTTGATGCCCCCGTAGTGGGGGATCATGGCCAGCTCCAGCTGCGGCTTCTTCTCCTCCTCGTCGTCGTCCTCCTCGTCGCTGTTGCTGCTCTCGGCACCCGCCCCCGTGCGGTGCAGATTGTGCATCTTCATCACCAGCAGCCTGGCGGAGAGAGGGACCCCCTGAGCCCTGCCCCCAGCCAGGGGCCCCACCAGCCCCTGCGCCCCGCGGAATGGGGCCCAGGGCCTCTCCCCTCTAGGGGGCGCTGGCCTGAACCCTGTCACCGGCTCAGCATGGAGGTCAAGGGCCACAGGGAGCCAGCCCCCCCTCTGTGGGTCAGGCAGGGGGTTTCTGGGGGACACCAGGGGTGGCCGCGGGTGACCGCCCAGGGCTCTGTGCTCGGGGGGTGCCGGCGCCCGGGCAGGGGAAGAGGCGCGCGCTCCCCACTCGCGGGCGGGTCGGGCCGGCTCCCAGCCTGGGGCGGGGCTGAAGTCGGGGGGTGTTTGTTGCAAGTTGCGGCTGGGGTGCCCTGCGGGGCGGGCTGGGGCCAGGCCTGGCCGTGCCCCTGGGGACGGAGCTACTTCCGCTCGGGGTCTCCTGCCCTCACCCCGGGCAGCCGCTCACCCCCCCGCAGTGCCCGGGCAGACGGGGCGCGCCTGGGCGAGCAGCAAGCGCTCCTGGGGGTGCCCCGCAGTGCCTGACCTGGGGCAGCGCTGAGAAACGGGGCTCCCTGGGCAGGGGTCTTGGAGAGCACACGGGGGTCTCTCCCTCTCTGGGGAGAAGCAGGGTGGGGGCTGTGTCTCTGCCCCATGGCCGCCCCCCGGGGCTGACCTGTTGGCCTGGGCGCTCTCGGCCTGGGTGCCGGCACAGAGCTGCAGGCTGAGCGGGAAGCGGCCAAGCTCCTGGCCCAGCGGGTCGGGCACCACGTCGAAACTCAGACAGGGGGCGCCTGTGGGGAGAAAAGGGGTGAGCCCCACTGCTGAGCATGTGCCCCGCACCCCTGGCCTGTCACCCCCTGCGCCCGTCCAGTGCCCCCCTGACTGCCCCATACCCTCCTGGCCCATGGCCTGTCCTCAACCCATGTCCTCCTGTCTGCCCCACAGTGCAGCCCCACGTCTCTGTGCCCACCCCACCCCCTGCCCGCCCCACAGTGCAGCCCCACGTCTCTGTGCCCACCCCACACTGCAGCCCCACGTCTCTGTGCCCACCCCACCCCCTGCCCGCCCCACGTCTCTGTGCCCACCCCACCCCCTGCCTGCCCCACAGTGCAGCCCCACGTCTCTGTGCCCACCCCACCCCTCCCCCCCACACTGCAGCCCCACGTCTCTGTGCCCACCCCACACTGCAGCCCCACGTCTCTGTGTCCACCCTGCCCGCCCCACAGTGCAGCCCCACGTCTCTGTGCCCACCCCACCCCCTGCCCGCCCCACAGTGCAGCCCCACGTCTCTGTGCCCACCCCACACTGCAGCCCCACGTCTCTGTGTCCACCCTGCCCGCCCCACAGTGCAGCCCCACGTCTCTGTGCCCACCCCACCCCCTGCCCGCCCCACAGTGCAGCCCCACGTCTCTGTGCCCACCCCACACTGCAGCCCCACGTCTCTGTGTCCACCCTGCCCGCCCCACAGTGCAGCCCCACGTCTCTGTGCCCCCCGCCGGCGCTGACCCGTGCCCGCCCGGTGGTACAGCACATAGGCCTCCTCGTCCATCACCAGCTCCTCGCCCGGTCCCGGCGGGGGGCCCCGGCCCGGCAAATAGACCCGCCGCGGGGGAGCCCCCTGCCCCTCCCCCTCTTCGTCCTCGCTGCTGCTGCTGCTCGCCCCGTCCCCGGCCCAGCGCCACGCCGCCTCCGCCATCTTGGGAGAGGGCAGCGCACCCTGCGCGGCGGCCTCACGCACTTCCGCCCTCAGGCTGCGAGACGCCATCTTGGGGGAGGCGAAGCCGCGGCCATATTGGAAAAGGGCAACGGCCACCATCTTGGAACGACGCTGGGCACCGCCCTCTTGGAAACGGGCCTGAGTGATCCCAGCGCCGCCATTTTGACAAAGGGACAGGAGGAGCCGGCCGCCATCTTAGGAAGGGCGCAGCGGGGGCCGCCATGTTGGCAAAGGGCAACAGCGGCGCCATATTGACTGAGGGTAAATCTCGTCCGAGCCGCGGCCAGCGCCATTTTCAGAAAGGGAAAATCCCCAGCACCGCCCGGACGCCATCTTAACTGAGGGCACACGAAGTCCCCCGCCCCCATCCTGGCCCCACGGGCGCCATATTGAATAAGGGCATCTGGGTGACCCCCCTCACACACACATATCCCATAATCACCATGGCGACCTAAATCTCCCTCACACCCTTACACCTCACTGAACTGTCACATGGGGTAAAAGGCCGTCACCTTGGCAACACGGGCGCCATCACTGGGGACATTCCTAATATGACATCACCACATCCGCTTGTGACATCATTGCTCCAGGTCATGGCACAGCTGCCTGGGAGTCAATGATGACGTCATCATTCCCCGAGGCCATGGAAACCAACATGGGGTCATCATGGCACCAGCGACATCACAAGAGACTGCCTCACAACCTGGTGCAATGATGTCACGGGAAAGTGATGACATCATCAGAAGCAGTGATGTCACCGGGAACATGATGTAGCCACAAAAGTTGGTAAACGGGGGAGACGTTCCAAAGTATCGCCCAGGCCCCTCCCTGAACCCCCCGTCCTGCAGCCCAGCACCCCCCAGCACCACCCTGGGGCATCGGGCCCAGCCCTGACTACCAGGGAGAACGTCCCGTGCTGAGCCCCCGTCCCACACACTGCAGATCAGCGCCCCCACTGAGCCTCCTGCAGCCCAGCGCCCCACACTGAGCCCCCTGCCCCACCCCCTGCAGCACAGCGCCCCATGCTAAGCACCCGCCGCACCCCCTGCAGCCCAGTGCCCCCCACTGAGCCCCCTGCCCCACCTCCTGCAGCCCAGCACCCCCCACTGAGCCCCCACCCTGCTCCCTGCAGCCCAGCGCCCCCTGCTGAGCCTCCTGACCTGCTCCCCACAGCACAGGGCCCCTTGCTGAGCCCCCCGCCCCACAGCCCAGTGCCCCGCACTGAGCCCCCACCCTTCAGCCCAGCACCCCCTGCTGAGCCCCCTGCCCTGCTCCCTGCAGCACAGTGCCCCTTGCTGAACCCCCGCCCCACAGCCCAGCACCCCCTGCTGAGCCCCCTGTCCTGCACCCTGCAGCCCAGCACCCCCTGCTGAGCCCCCGCCCCACTTCCTGCAGCCCAGCGCCCCCACTGAGCCCCCACCCTGCTCTCTGCAGCCCAGCGCCCCCTCCTGAGTCCCCTGCCCCACTCCCTTCAGCATGGCGCCCCATCGCTCTGCTCTGGGGCATTGGGGCCAGCACTGACTGCCAGGGCAGTGACCACCGCCTGTGGACCCCCCTCCAGTGCCCCCCCAACCAGTCTCCCCACCCAGAGCTGGCCCAGCGGCCCCCAGCTCAGTGCTAAGTGCCATGAGTGATGGCACTGGCTGCAGCGGCCACGACCCTCCCGCTCCAATGAGCACAGCAAATTTCACAGCTAAGCGGCCCCAGCTGGAGGCCTTCAGGCCGCACTCATTGGGGATTTATGATCCCAGCGAGGACGATAGGACAGAGGAAAACTGGCCTAGTCGGGATCGAAGGGCCCTGGCAGATTGAGATGAGGGGAGCTAAGGCTGGGCTGGCAGTGGCTGCAGGCTGGGAGTGAGGGGCACCAGCGGAGCTGGTGGGAGCCCAGGGCTGGGCTCGGAGGGGGCTGCGGGTTGGGAGTGAGGGGCACCGGCAGAGCTGGGGGGAGCCCAGGGCTGGGCTAGCAGGGGGCTGCGGGTCGGGAGTGAGGGGCACCGGCAGAGCTGGGGGGAGCCCAGGGCTGGGCTCGGAGGGGGCTGCGGGTCGGGAGTGAGGGGCACCGGCAGAGCTGGGGGGAGCCCAGGGCTGGGCTTGGAGGGGGCTGCGGGTCGGGAGTGAGGGGCACCGGCAGAGGGTGGGGTGGGGAGCCTAGGGCTGGGCTAGCAGGGGGCTGCGGGTCGGGAGTGAGGGGCACCGGCAGAGCTGGGGGGAGCCCAGGGCTGGGCTAGCAGGGGGCTGCGGGTGGGGAGTGAGGGGCACCGGCAGAGGGTGGGGTGGGGAGCCTAGGGCTGGGCTAGCAGGGGGCTGCGGGTCGGGAGTGAGGGGCACCGGCAGAGCTGGGGGGAGCCCAGGGCTGGGCTAGCAGGGGGCTGTGGGTCGGGAGTGAGGGGCACCGGCAGAGGGTGGGGTGGGGAGCCTAGGGAGCTGTGGGTCGGGATAGAATCGCCATCACAAGAGACACTGCATTGCAGCAAGCGCCCACCAGGGGTCGCTGTGAGTTCACACCCACTGCACGTGGGGCCGAGCCCTGGGCAGCTCAGTGCACTGAGGGCGAAGGGGCCCCAGGGGTGAAGCCAGCAGCGGGGGGGGGGGGGGGTTAACAGGTCTCTGGACATCCCCCAGGCTGGGGCAGTGCCAGAGATACCCCACACCCCAGCACACATAACACGCCCCGTTAGGGGACCCCTGGGCATCTCCCTCAATGTGCCCCTCACTCCTGACTCGCAGCCCCCTTCTAGCCCAGCCCTGGGCTCCCCCCAGCTCTGCCGGTGCCCCTCACTCCCGACCCACAGCCCCCTGCCAGCCCTGCCCTGGGCTCCCCCCAGCTCTGCCGGTGCCCCTCACTCCCGACCCACAGCCCCCTGCCAGCCCTGCCCTGGGCTCCCCCCAGCTCTGCCGGTGCCCCTCACTCCCGACCCGCAGCCCCCTGCCAGGCCGGGCCTGGGCTCCCCAGGGCAGGGCCGGGGGTTCCCCAGGGAGGAGCCAGGCTGAGCTGTCGGGGCTCCCTGCTGGGCTGTGTGTAGCGGGGCCCCGACAGCTCAGTGGGGGGGTCGGGGGAGGACATGGAGGACAGAGGAGCGGGAAGGAGATGGCAGAGGAGGAGGGAGAGGGGGCTGGGGCAGGCAGACACAGGGGTGCCGGGACTGTAAGGTTCCCAGCCCGTGGGTGGGTTTGGCTGAGGCAGGAGGTCTCGTCCCGCCCCCCACAGCCCTGCTGGTGCCCCTCACTCCTGACCCGCAGCCCCCTGCTAGCCCAGCCCTGTGCTGCCCCCAGGTGCTGTGGTTAGGGGGTGCTGGGGGGGGCTCTGTTTTCAATGTCCCCAGGGCCTGCTCCATCCCTCGCCTGAACCCAGACGTTCTGGCAGGCTGAGGCCGCGCGGGGCTCCTGGCAAAGAAGAAATGCAAACCAGAAACACCAGCCAGGATGGGAGAAAGCCAGGGCCTGTCCCCTTGATGGGGCTCCAGTCCCCCATGCGGGGGCGGGAGGGTGGGGGGCTGGCTGGCTCAGGGGGGCGGGGAATGGGGCGCGGGGCCTTTCCCCTCTAGGGGGCGCTGGCTCCCATCCAGTCTCAGGGCAGGGCCTGTCTGGCTTGGGGGTGTGGGCGTTAAATCCTCTCTCCGCCGGCTCATCCAGCTGCTGCCCCAGGGCCGCCCGGGCCGAATGTCTGCCCCACACTGTCCATGGGCCCCGCACAGTCTGCCCCTGCGCCCCCCTGTCCCTGACCTGCCGCGGCTCTGCTTTTCCACACTTTGAGGCAGCCTGTTCCCAGCCCCACGCACTGCCAGGATCCCTGGGCCCTCCAGCCCAACCCCAGAGGGGCCACGCCCCAGTGCCGGGCAAGGGGTCCCTGTGTAAACACCACCACAATGCGCCACAACGCAACACAGACAGCAATACACAACTGCAACATGACAGCACACACAAAGTCCTACCCCTTACAGTGTGCGTACACACACGCTAGCAAGGGGGGTCACACCCACATACGGAGCAGGGCCCAGCCCCTCCAGCAGGGGGCAGCAGGGACACACACACACACACCCACACACCCACATACGGAGCAGGGCCCAGCCCCTCCAGCAGGGGGCAGCAGGGACACACACACACACACACACACACACACACACACAAGCAGGGCCCAGCCCCTCCAGCAGGGGGCAGCAGGGACACACACACACCCACATACGGAGCAGGGCCCAGCCCCTCCAGCAGGGGGCAGCAGGGACACACACACACACACACACAGCAGGGCCCAGCCCCTCCAGCAGGGGGCAGCAGGGACACACACACACACACACAGCAGGGCCCAGCTCCTCCAGCAGGGGGCAGCAGGGACACACACACACACACACACACACACACAGCAGGGCCCAGCCCCTCCAGCAGGGGGCAGCAGGGACACACACACACACACACAGCAGGGCCCAGCCCCTCCAGCAGGGGGCAGCAGGGACACACACACACACACACACACACACACACACACACACACAAGCAGGGTCCAGCTCCTCCAGCAGGGGGCAGCAGGGACACACACACACACACACACACACACACACACACAAAATACAGCTGCGCTGGGGGCCCAAGGCTGGGGCAGCCCGATGGGTCCACCTCTATCCCCAGCTCTGGGAGGGGAGTGGGGGCCAGTGGTTAGAGCTGGGGGGCTGGGAGCCAGGACTCCTGGGTTCTCTCCCTCCTTGGCCCCGATGCGTGCCCGGTAACCTCCCCGCACTCTCCCCTGCCTCTCCACAGGGACCAGCTCTCCTGGCCCATCTGCTCAGCTTGTCTGGCTGCTAAGGAACCAGTAATTACCTGTGGTGTGTGTCCAGGCCGGGCTGACAGCAAGGCAGGGTGTGTGTGTGTGAGCTCTGATAACCAGGGAATGGGGCTTGGGGCCTGTCCCCTCTAGGGGGCGCCGGCTCCCATCTGGCCCCAGGGCGAGGGACTGGCTGGCTCAGAGGGGCAGGGAATGGGGTGCGGGACCTTTCCCCTCTAGGGGCGCCGGCTCCCATCCGGCCCCAGGGCAAGGACTGCTTGGCTCAGGGGGGCGGGGAATGGGGTATGGGGCTTTTCCTCCCCCCGGAGCCGTGGGCTCCCATCCGGCCCAATGGTGGGTGGG